CCTCCCTGAAGAGCTGGACGATGTTGCTGGGGAAAGAGATGTCTCGGCCTCCCTGCTCAAGTTGCTGCTTCAATGACCTGACTCCGAAACAAGTGGAAGATAATGAATGAATGAATGAATGAATGAATGAATGAATGAATGAATGAATGAATGAATGAATTAATGGATAGTTAGATGGATGTGACACCACAGCAATAATTTTCAAATTTCAATCATTTATTTTATCTGTGTCACATTATTAACATTTCCTAACACACTCCTTTAGGTGCCCAATCGATGATCCTAAGTCTGCCACTTACAATTAGTTATTTTGATAGTTCACAAGTTTGTTTACCTTGATAAACCCCAATTGGAGTTATGAGTATGACTTCTGTATCTTTGTTAACCCCAGTGGAGCAGATTAAAAGTGCACAAAATGGCCACTGGGTTGGATAAGAACCATTATTTGTGTCAACTCTTTGTGTGTGTGTGTTTATGTATTAGAACTTGTCTTGCAATATGGTAGCAAGACCATGTGCAAAAATACTGAAAAACCATGGACATCACCGAGTGGTTAATGTCCTATAACCAAGTCAAAAACTTTGCATTGCTTTTTTTGATAAATATGATAATGTAGAAAAAACAAGTACAGCTACTGACTTGAAGACATTTTCATTTATTTAAAACTATCTCTACACCATTTCCCATAACCTGAAATGTTGCTTCTCTAACATATTTATTTCATTGCTTGCTTGGGCAAAGTTATGATGATCAAAGAGTGTCAAAAACTGGACTCTGACAAGAATGAGACAAACACATTTTGGCCAGTCTTCTTTTCCCTCATTGAACTGCAGATCATTCAATAGGAGCTCGTTTTATAAAACATACTATGTAACTATGTGTAATGATTGATGTAATGATTGATGATGTAATCTATATGTAACTTACTGTGCAAATGGTTTTCACATTTTCTTACACTTGTTGTTGTAAAAGGGTTTTGGCATCCTGACTGCAGTCCTAATGTTTGTGTTTTTAAATAAAAGTCCCCCACTTAAAAATGACTCATCTAATTTACTATTTACAGAGAGGATAAATATAGTAGATTTAGCTTTGCCAGAGGGAAAAAAATAGGTGCATGTGTTCATAAGATATCTTACATAAACCTCGGCTGTTCCTGTTAGTCAAGGCATAATTTGAAAACTAAAAATATAAATCCAGCAATCAAATTGCTCTTGTTTGGTTAGCAAATACAATAAACTTTTATACCAATGTAAAATCTGATTTTATAATTTTGTCAACATAGGAGCTTGTGGAGCCTGTTTTATAAGCAGCAACTTCAGTGTACCTGGACTAACAAATATAACAATGTCTACAGTGCTCCATCTGCATCAGCAAAGAATACATTCAGGAACGGCATTAAAATGTGGGTCGCCCGCATTTAGAAGATGCTCACAGTACAATACACAATCACTGCAGATGCACATGAAAATGCAGAGAAATAAGACCTGAAGTGTGAAAAGATGACTTTTTAAATGTACCCTTAACTACTGAACTGAAGGTTGTAAATTGGAAACTAGCTTCTGAAGATGTTTGTTATCTCACTACAGTAGGCAAAGAAGACACATTACTTTACTGTCTTTGCCTTTCGTCCTAGTCAAACACCGTACCGGTCTTGCCTAGACAATTTTTAGATGCTTCCAGGCTGCATGGCAGTTATAGAAATATTATACCTTCAAACTTACACAAAAACTAATGTGAGCACAGAGTGACAAAAGGTTGGCTTCTTTGCAAGCTGTGGGAGCTGACTGGTTGATGAACGTTCCTCACATGTTGCTCCACACAGCTGTCTGTGCTAGGTGCTGAGGCAGCTCTGAACCAGAAACCCCAGACTAGCATAAATGCTTGACTTGGCTTACAATGACGCTGGCTGTCATACTAGCTGCCATACAATTTCACTGCCCTCAATATTCTGCATGCATTCTGCACTACAGCCCACGTGCCACTGAATACCAAACAGGCCTCTGGGGAGCTTTGGGGTTTGCCAACAGTCACAATGGACTCCTGTGCTTGTTAGCCAGTGTGTATTACTTCAGTGGATTTTGAAAATACTTTCTTATTTGGTTAAACATGTGCGATTGTTTGTTATAATTTTTTTTAGTTTCCGCTAAAATACTTGACACATTTTGAAACAAAGTAAAGAATAGAGAGAAAAGGCAGGGGCCAGAGAACAGTGTTAAAACTACCTTCTTGAAACTTGTGTCACAACCTCTTTGTTTGTTGAAGCAATGCATTTTTAAACCAAAGTATCACATGGAATCTTATTCATGAATGTTAAGTACATTTTCTTGATAATGTGAACCAATATTTGGTATATGTATAGTCCCATGCTACTTTGCAGTTTGACTTTCACGGACTCGCTCAATCGCGGTTTGTCAAAAAAAAAAAGTACAGTGCAGTACAGTACACTCATGTGGGTGGGAAGACATACAACATTAATAAATAAATTTAGACAGGCGCCGCAGTTTAGTAGTTTTCTTTCAATAAGCCTACACTGTAATTGTCACTCATAAGGACTACATTGCCCAGAAGTCAATACTGTACTGTAGTGCCTCCAGCTGCTGCTTTCTGCTGAACATAAAGCACAGTCATGACTGCTGACCCGGCTTTTCAAACATAATATTTTAACCATGTCACTTGGACAAGATACTTCAAGAATATTCAACTTTACAAATGTAAGATTCACAAGAAATAAATCATGGCAGGACATGTCTCTTTAAGAAATGGAGAATTGTGCTATGTAACCCAGGTGTTGATTGGCTGCACAGAACTGAACACCTTAATTCAGCGTGAACGCGAGAGCTCCTAGCTGGCCCACGAGGACTTCCAAGTAGGGATGCGCTGCCACATGTTTGCCGCTGTTTCCATTGTGACTTTTTTACATCCAGACTTGGACTCAATCGACCACCTCCAGTCCCGCGCCGGCCACCCGAAGGCCTGACCTCCCCCCAAAATGTGCTTCGGCACTCAAGGGCTGCACTGAATCGTACCAGAACCAGACCCCCAGACTCAACGGTGAACCCAAGAGATCCTAGCCAGCCCACGAGGAGTTCCAAGTGGGGACGTGCCGCCAAAGGTCTGGCGCTACATCCAGAGCCCATCGGGACTTTTTTTTATATTCCGAGTCGAAGTGGAATGAGCTGCTGCTGTTCTGCAGGGCTGTTAAGTAAATTTTAGTAGCTACTATAAGTATCCAACATTTTTCAGTCAGGTCATCTGGACAGTTTCTTTTTTTTGTGCTGAAACGTTTCACCTTTGGTCCGGAAGGCTTCATCAGTCAAGAAAACACAACAAAATTGATTCTTCCCCCAACATCTTACTCCAAAGTGGAACAAACCAGTTCTGCTTGTGATAAGATGGTCTCTTTGGTATACCCCCTCCTCCATTGCTGGCCCTCTTCCTTGTTGACAGTCTTGTCAAACTGGTTGAAAACAACAAAGTCCATGCTCAAGTCCATGACCATCTTACCACAAGCAGAACTGGTTTGCTCCACTTTGGAGTAAGCTGTTGGGGGAAGAATCAGTTTTGTTGTGTGTTTCCTTGACTGATGAAGCCTTCTGGACCGAAGGCGAAACGTTTCAGCACAAAAAAGATAAAAAAGAAACTGTCCAGATGACCTGACTGAAAAATGTTGGATTGTATACCTGGATTATTGAGCATGGACTTTGTTGCTACTATAAGTATGTTGCTAAAATACGTACGTTTAAGAGTTTAGATGATTGCAAGACTGTGGTCTAAAGCCTTAAAATAGATATAAATGCTAAAATAAATATACTACTTCACATATTTTCACTTATTGTCGGGGGGGGGGGGGGGTCTGACAAAAAAAACAAGGAACTACTGTATATCTGTTTTTGAGTTTTTCGTGTTGCACTGCTGTTCACACCCATACACAATTGACTCTGCTGCTCATGCCACAACTCTCAAATATGATCTTATTAGACACAGCAGCAGAATAAGATTGCTTCCTATTGATATAGGAGCAATGGCTAATCTTTTAAAAAGCATCAAATCCCAAAATATTCTATAATTTTTTTGTGGGGCATATAAATAAATTCAAATATTTTACACAGAGTGCAGTTGCTGGAGTGTAACGCCATGAAACAAAGCACCTGTTCTGTACACCGCCTAAGGCTGGTATGAATTTTTCTCCCCCCATTCCCCAACAGTACACAAGCCTCTGTTTAGAGCGCATACAGATTTACAAAGTAATTGTATCGCCTCAGGTTACTTCTCAAGCTTGCAGACAAAATAACCAAGGCATATGGTGGAGCCAAAAACCAACACACATTCAACACGAACAATGCAAATTTGGGAGGGGAGTAAAACAGTTTAGGGGATGTAACCTAAAAAAAAAATAAAAAAAAATAAAATAAATGCATTATATTATTATTTTTATTATTTTTATTTTTTTAGCAAACTACCAGAAACCAATTGTCATCATTGTTATTTTATATAGATACAGATGGATGGATGTGTGGGGAAGCTGATATGTCAGTTTTGTCATAAAAGTAAAATTACAAAAGGGAAATAAATGACTCTTACATAATTTTAAGACAAACATATATTCTATTGGTCATTTTGGTTCAAAATATTGTAGTGTAAATGCTAAGATGAATTAAAATAGATCAAAGGAATGAGTGAAACAAAATCACATGGAACACACATTTTCTCATTTAGGCCTTTGAGAAACCATTTGACACAAACCACAGATGTCTCTTAAAATGAACATTTTGGGAACTAATTAGATCAAAAACAAGAACCAGTTCCATTGGCTGCCAGCCTTCTGAAAGGGACTTAAGCCCTGAATGAAGCTTTATACCAGCAACAACCTTCAGCTTCCCAAATAATGAATATTTATGGGAATAAAATTGATCCACCAATGACCAGTTTTGGATTAAACATTACCAACTTGTTATCTTTCTTACGACCAGTAGATTGTGACTGAATGGAGATTGTCTTACCTTACAGGACTATTCCTACTATCCGGATCTCGAGCAGTAACTGTGCCAACTTCGGTGCCACTTGGTGAGTTTTCATAAACATCCAAGATATAGTAATCCATAGAAAAAATTGGTGCTTCATCCACGTC